CTGCCACGGATAATCAGTGTTTCCGATTTTTTCTCGTATGAATGCATTGAAACTGCTATTGTCAAATTCTTATATGGAAGTGTGAATTGTAAAATTCTATACATTTTCTTGTAGTTAGTTCTGCAATATGGAAGAAAAACCAGGCATTTCATCAAATTTTATTGCTAAAGAAATCCAATTACACAGGCTTATAACTTGCATAAAAGGGTAACATAGTAATTTTTATACCTACACTGAATCACAAGGTTGGCTAGTTATGGACAGAACTTCGACCTCGGACGGGACTTGAACCTGCACTTGTACGTGCTATCCGGGCACGGTGCTCTGATATCCGTTGATCTCGCCAAGCTTATGAGACTTTCGGATAGCGTATTGAGTTGGCAAATAACAACAATAAACAAATTACCAAGTCAAAACAGGCTTGCAGTGGATGTCACCATCCCTAAAGCTTATCTCATTTGGCTTGTCATGCCATCAAACACCGTATGTTTCAGTGAACGCTATAACGACCCCAGCCTATCTCACAGCAAAAAAGAGTGACCATCAATTCCCCTAAGTTTGAGGAGCCCGTAGCATAATCTTTTATTCATGCAAGGCTTTCAGATGATCTCTGATCCTCTACCTAATAGATGGAAGTGGAGTTAGTTCCGAACTTTTGTTGAAAAACGGTTCACATTCAACCAGTTACCAGTACGAATCAGATGGTGAGGTCCATCTCCCTGACTATGATTTCGTGGCAACTCCCCATGTGTTCAAACGTTGGCAGTGTTCACGCCAAAATACCTTTTACGCTCACGTGAGGAGAAATCCGAACGTTTAACTTTCCATTGCTACACAAAGCAGTGAGATTCTTCGGATTTTTCCTGAGCCTGGTCCGTGAGAAGTTCTAAGAATAATGTGAAGGTGCTTCACTGAGCAAAGCAGAGACACTTCTCGTCTACTTCTAGCGCAGTTTCACCTCAAAGGCAACTACTAAGGAGAGAATGGATCAGGGGAACTCCTGTAGGAAGTTTCAGATGCTCTCCAAAGTTTTCATCTCCTGAGAACCTTAAACTCTTGCACCTCAGACACTATTGCGACAATGTTTAGAGAGTCCTATGTTAATGACAACGAGGTCACAGGAACCGTAAGCGTCTGAGATATCAGGTGCTCCCAAAAGGTAACTACAGTAGCGTGCCGCTGTGCTGTCATTCCTAATTACAAAAGTTAGGCATAGATGTGATTGTCCTCCTTTCTAAACTACCCACCTGAGCTAACTTTTTCACATTTACGTCGTACTCATGACTACTTGAACATGAGTCATCCACAGAGCTGGTTTTACTCATGCGACACCCCGACACCCCCTCTAAAAGTTTCATGATGAATCGCTCCCCATTTTGAAAAGGTTCACTACGGGCGACTTTCTTTCCCATTCGACAAAATTATGTTAGCTGAATAACCGATACACTCTCTGCTCAGCCTGATTTACCATGTTAGTACTGTGAAGTGTTTGACAGCCGGAATTTTGGGAATCATATGGAAAAACATTGAGAACAAAATTTATGAAGCCGTTAGAATGAACACTGAACCGGCAGTCAAATTAGTAATTCTTTGAATAACCTATTTGAGCCCTGAGAAGAAATAAAAGATCCACAAAGCACCGTTACTGACAAACATTGGAAACCAAATACAACGGTCTATAGTATTACATAGCCCGACGCCTGAATTTGATGCTCACAAAGACTGAAGGCACAAACATACGGAAGTAGAAAATTGTGATGGAAGGCTAGATTTCTAGAAAAGAAAGTTCAAATGAATGATTAGTTTCCAACTTCTCTCTTGCTTTAACCTCGGCATAGTTGTTTATTATTTAAATACTCTTGTGCCGCGCGAGGTTGTTAGGTGGAACGATTTATTAACTCAGTAACTTAACGTTTCGACGCTATCGTCTTCTTCAGAGGCCTAAAGCAATTCGAGATGATTTGCGCG